GTTCATCCAGCTCTACATCTTGTTATCTCTGAAGAAAGTGGATATCTGGTCTTCCTTCTGGTGGTGGTTTCTTGCTTTGAGCAAATTGGCTGCTGCATTTCCCTGCCACACTGACAGTATATCAAAAGCACTTAAATGTCTAAAAAGCACATTGAAACTTTTTGAACCTTCTGAGGGTCTTTTCTTCAAAACAGGAAGGTGAGAGATTGTGATCCTCAAATGGGTACAGAGGAGACTATGAGCTGTCTTGTGAGCTTCACTCCCTATAATGGTCTCTTAAGAATTTAGAGAGACTATAAAGATTATTCAATATTCAATTTTGTTCCTTTATTTCTGACTGAAGCTCAATAATTTCTGGATTTTGACTGTAATTTCACAGTTTTCCTGAACTGTACCATCCCCTAGCTTCTGTTGTATGGTTCCCATGATGGCAGGCTGGATTTTATCGAATGTTTTTTGGATATTTCACTCTTCCTCACCCTTCCCTCTCCTGAAGATGCAGGCTCATCCTTGGGGCATTTTTGTGTGTGTGGTGACAGAGAATGTTGCCAAGTGATTTAACCATGAAAGTATCACAGCTATCCTCACCCTCCCACTACCTAGTAATGACACCTGCTAGCTATCAACCCAGACTCTGATGATACTAATTTTGATAAAACCATATCTGGTAGCAAACCCTCTCCCCATCCTTTCCCTGCTCTTCCTTTGACCTGTGACGTTAATGCCTGTCTACAAATCTCCGATGAATGCCTCAGGTATAATTCAACACAGGTTGGCGATCAAACATAGTACTATACTGGTTTGTGGGACTCAGTATCAAACATAAAGGCAGCTCACATTTATAAAGCAAATGTCAAAAACCCAGGGCCGTTGCAAACTATTTTACAGCCATTGAAGTGGCTTTGAAATGCAACCATTTGAGAAAAGCAGCAGCTAATTTGTGCACAGCACATTCTGACAAACAATAATATGATCAAATAATCCATTCTGAGTTATCATTTGAATAATAAATGTTGTCCAGGTCACAGGGGAGATTTAAAACAGAAGCTTTTACATCCATCTGTGGTGGGATGAGGGGCATGGGACAGAATGGTAGATGGTGCCTCAATTTAGTGTCTCATCTGAAAGACCATGCGTTCAGCGGTGCAGCAATCCCACTGTATTGCACTGGAATGTCAGGTTTTGTGCTCAGGTCTCTAGAGTGGGACTTAAACCCTCAACTTTCTGACCCAGAGCTAAAAGTGCTACCATTGAAATGATACTATCACACCGTGCTGTTTATTTCATCAGTGAGCCAATGGTGTTGCCGAATCCAGTAACTCATATTTTTAACAATATTTCACCCACGCTGCAGAAAAGCTAAATTAAAACATCAACTTGCCTCCGTGGCAAGGCTTGGCAGTGCGGTATGTTTTCCGAACATCTGACATTGGATTCTCTGGATTGCTTGCAATCTTATTTTAGCAAAATAATATCTTTAGCTATGACAGGCTGTCAGTACTGAGTGCAAGCCAGTGCTTTAATGACTGCGGGCAATATTCCAGAGACATCAGCTGTCACAGAAACAGTTTGGGCAGTTCCATCAACCCTACACAATGAAATAAACATCACACCTTAGCTTTGGAGGAGCTTGGCGAGTGGAAAAGATGCAGCATGGAAGAAAGCCCATTGTGCCCGTGGCAGCTCTTTGAAACACATTACCAATTAGTTTCACTCCCCTCCTCTCTCTCCCTTTAGCCCTGCACATTTTTCCCTTCCAATATTTCTTCAACGCTGTTTTGAAAATTACTCTTGAATCTGCTAACCACTGAGCCACCATGCTACCTTCTGATTGGACTGTCAGTATCAGGAGCCTGCCTGTTGTCCTCAGTTAGACACCAGGCCCACTGCTGACCAATTTGGAGACAAACTGTGGGAACATCATTGAGCAGGATCTGCTGCCAACTGTTTGTTCAGGGTCCCGATGCCCACAGCACAATTTAAACCTCAATATTCAGATCCTGCATGATTTTATCAATCCGTCTTGCAAGAGATTTAACTAAGATGCAATCACAGTACAATGTCAGATACAATTCTTTTCAGCTACAGGTTTGCAAAGAGAATGTTAACCTAATGTTCCCTCCCTGTCAATGCAGGTTGTGGAAGAACAAAATATCCAAGGACAGGGAACAGAGTCTTCAGGAACAGGATTCCAGATTAAATTTCCTCTCTGTTTAGAGCAGCACTTATAACACACAATCATTTGTATAAGTATTGTGCGCATTCCTGGGGGAAGTTGCATTTTGCACTATGTCAAGGACTTTGTCTTTCAGCATGGGTTTTTAAAATTTTATTTATTGTATTTATTTTAAGACATTTTTTGTCTTGCTATTTTTGCAAGATATTTTATTTGTCAGCCATGTAAATAAAACCTTTTGTACACATTAATAGCTTTGTGTCACTTTGTCTTTTTTACTCACTTTTCACGTTATTTATCATGTCGTATATACAGCAGAATTGTTGCAAGGTACTCCATGGGTCACTTTGTCATCTTCTGGTGCTCTGCTCTCAACGTGATGTCTTGTTCCTTTTGCCTTATCCTGCTGTTTCTTCACAACAAACATTCCCTTGTAGTGGTTCAGGCATCTTCTCCACTGGATGCCAGCCAATGGACTCGCTCCTGACCCCTCTCTGCTGCAACAGATTATCAAGGGTTGGGCATGTGGAGTATATCAATGACATTCATTATTCATAAGTCATGATGATGTCCTGATCGAGTGACCCTGAAGACACCAATCTAAAATGAGCATGTCTGAAGAGAGATCTTAGACACTACACCCACAGCCAAAGATGCTCAAGACCAGTATCTCAATTAGAGGTAACTTAAAGCACAAGATTAAACTGGGCAGAAATTTAGACGTAAGGGAGGGTTTGAATTCTAAGAACAAATAGGAGAAGATCTGTATTGGTACCGAAGAATATTGGCCCTGGAATAATTGATCATTTGACCTGGTAAAGCTTCAATGTACAAGATTTTATGGATGGATCTTTGGGTTAGAGATGTTTTCTCTGTGGAGAGAACATTTCACCTGCACAGGCTTTTTGAGATTTTGTGCTCTCTTGATTTTTTTTTTTGTCTTCTTGTGCCAGGAGCCCCATCACTAAAATGTGGTATCCTAATTTGGGGATTCACTGTCAGCAGTCCTTCTTTCTCTGTGCTGAGCCTAGGGCCTGTATAATTATCAATAGTGGAGCATAGGCCACTGGTGAGTCTAAACAGAAAAGACATAGCAATAAGTGCAGTTTACATTATTAGTCAAGCTTTATTATTAAAGATTGTCAGGAACTGCCCAGAATGCATTGTTCAGAGCTCAACTGTCTCCACCTAGAAGCATCAGATTAGGGGGAGCCTAATGCAACTTGAAGATTAACTCTGTCAGATCCATTGCCTTGTACAACACACATCCAACCACTCTCTCATGCCTCCACCCTCTCCATTTGGCTCACTATTGAGTGACATGGGGGCAGAGTGAGAACCAGGAAAAAGAATCAAAGAAGGTGCCGGAAATTGTTGCCGTGCCAGACCCACGTCACAGCACTGGAGGCAGCACGGTGTCATTAGGTTACCTCTCCTTGAGCTGTGAGAAATAAACAGGAGAAAACCAGGGCAGAATCTTCCCAGGCACTGAATGACATGGACATTGGCAAGAAAGCTGGGAGAATATAGAACATAGAACAGTACAGCACAGTACAGGCCCTTCGGCCCACGACGTTGTGCCGACCTATTAACCTACTAAGATCAATCTACCCTGCATACCCTACATTTTACTATCCTCCATGTGCCTATCCAAGAGTCGTTTAAAAGTCTCTAAAGTATCCAACTCCACTACCACTGCTGGCAGTGCATTCCACACGCCCACCACTCTGTGTGAAGAACCTACCTCTGACATCTCCCCTATACTTTCCTCCAATCACCTTAAAATTATGCCCCCTCGTAATAGTCATTTCCACCCTGGGAAAAAGTCTCTGACTATCCACTCTATCTATGCCTCTCATCATCTTGTACACCTCTATCAAGTCACCTCTCATCCTTCTTTGCTCCAATGAGAGTTGTGTAACATTGTCAGTGAAGATCTTCCCAATGTCAAAAACAACATTTCCCATTTTCCACTTAAGTGCTGAATGGTGAGACAAGGTTCTGTCTACTGAACAGCGAGAGGCCTGTTTGTACTCATTAATATCCTCACAATTTCCTCAGGTCACCTCATTAATAGGCAGATTCCCCTTCTCCCAGCCACTGATAGAATCTAGATGACAATTCTGAACATGAAATCAGGGCAGGTATCTGGTGACTTCCACTCACCACTGTCTTCTCCAGGACTTAATTAGCCACAACATTCAGGGCACACTCCACGGGCAGCAAGTGCACACCCCCCTACCCCAACCACCATCCAGCAGGATCCCATTTCCGAAGCAGATTGTCCATTTCCTGCTGACATACATGCCTGGGGCAATTGACAGGAGCCAGGCAGGGCAGATGAGGTCCGCCATTGCTGGACTGGGTTCATGGCTGGACATCAAAGTATCTGCGCCAGGAGATCCCAGCGGTGGTCAGTGCTGCCACCTGTGGTGATTGGGAGAATAACGTGAGTGGGATCCGAGAGAGGAGTAGTGCATTGGTAATGGGGCTCCTGTGGGGAGATGGCATGAGAAAACTTGTGGGGCTCACAGAAAGAAACCTTCCATGAAACTAGATGAAAATGATGAGTTAATTTCTGGCAACTGGTCTTTTCCTGGAAAGAAGAATGGAGATGCATAAGCTTGTTACAAGTGCAAGAAGTATTAATCTGCAATATTAAGTTAAACTGAAGGTGTGGAAACAAGGTCCCATGGATTCAGACCAGAGGTAACACTTTCAGAATAGGCAGCATGGTGGCTCAGTGGTTAGCACTGCAGCATCGCAGGACCAGGGATCCAGGTTCAGTCCCACCCTTGGGCAAGTGTTTGTGTGCAGTTTGCACATTGTCCCTGTTTCTGTGTGAGTTTCCTCCCACAGTGCAAAGATTGTGCAGGCTAGGTGGATTGGCCATGGTAAATTGCCCATAGTGTCCAGGGATGTGAAGGTTGGGTGGATTAGCCATGGGAAATGCAGGGTTACAGGGATTGAGTGGGACGCTCTTCGGAGGGCCAGTGCGGACTCAGTGGACCGAACGGCCTGCTTCCACACAGTAGGGATTCTATGAATCAAAATGTAATCAACATATGAAGTAAAAACCAAAGAATCCAGTGAAAGCAACATCTGTGGTCTTAGTTGAAAAATTATTCTATGCTACTTCTTTTTGGAGGGGTGCATCCAGAGCACCTTGGCTACATGATCCTAAATGAAATGACTGTCCTTTCTCTTCAACAATTTGTTGTGACAGCAATACACAATGTATTATGCCAGCCTGATAGAACATAAGAATTGGCATAGAAATGTCAATTACTAGTGGATATAGGTTTAAGGTAAAAGGGAGAAAGTTTAAAGGAGATGTGAGAGGTAAAGTATTTTAACACAGGGGGTGATAAGTGAATGTACTGCCAGAGAAGAAAGTGGAGGCAATACAGTAGCAATGTTTAAAAGGCATCGTCACTGATGCATGGATAGGTAGAGAATAGAGGGATATGCATGAGGTAGAGACAAAAGATTTTAGTTTACAATGACATCATGTTGTGTTGCAGTCTTGGTATACAAAGGACCTGTTCCTGTGCTGTACTGTTCTTTGTTCTTTGATATTCAGAGACCTGAGTGCATATGAATATAAAAATATGAGTTAGGAGCCAAAGTAGACCTGATCTGACAGAAGATAAGATCATGGCTGATTTGTTTATGGCCTCAAACCACTTTCCTGGCTAACCCAATTTTGACTCCCTGTTTAGTCAAGAATCTGTCAACCTCTGCCTTAAAAATTATTTAATGACCTTACCTCCACCGCTGTCTGGGCTGGAGAATTCCACAGGCTCATGACCTGTTGAGAGTAAAGATTCTTTCTCATCTCCATCTAAAATGGAAGACTTTGCTAAACTATTGTTTAGATATTGTTAAACTGTTCTCCATAGTCTTGACTTTCCCACAAAGGGAAATATCCTTTCAGCATCTACATTGTCAAATCCATTCAGGATCTATCACGTTTCAATAAGATCACATCTCTTCCTTCTAAAACTCCAATAAGTACAGATCCAACTCTTCCACACTTTTCTCACAAAATAATCCCCTATCCTCAGAATCAGTTGTGTGAACCTCCTCTGAAATGTTTCTAATGTTTTATAGAATAAGGAGGCCAAAATTGTACACATCACTTCCAATGTGTTCTCACCAATATACCCTATAAAACTGTAGCAAAAGAACCCAACCGAAATACTCCACTTCCTTGCAAAAACACAACATTCTGTTTCTCTTCCTAAGTATGTATTCTATATGCATACTTTTTTTGTGATTCATGTAGCAGAACACCCCGATCTCTCTGTCCTGCAGTGTTCTGTAAATTCCCTCAATTTAAGTAGTACATTGCCTTTCTAGCTGTCTTGCCAAAGTGGACAGGTTCACAAGGTACGGTGGCTCACTGGTTAGCACTGCTGTCTCACTGCACCAGAGGCCCAGGTTTGCTTCCACCCTCGCGCGACTGTCTGTGTGGAGTTTGCACATTCTCCCCATGTCTGCGTGGATTTCCTCCGGGTGCTCCGGTTTCCTCCCACAGTCCAAAGATGTGCAGCTTAGGTGGATTGGCCATGCTAAGTTGCCTGTAGCATTCAGGGATGTGCAGGCTAGGTGGTTTGGCCATGGGAAATATAGGGTTACAGGGCTAGGGTAGGGTCTGGGGTCTTGGGTGAGATGCTCTTTGGAAAGTTGGTGTTGACTCAATGGGCCGAAAGACCTGTTCCCACACTGTAGGGAATCTATCATTCACATTTTCCCACGTATACAATGGCAGAGTCTCGAAAATTCTCGAACCATCTCTTTCCTCTCTCTATGGTCATTGTACACGTGCACAAAACCACATCTCTGTTTTCTAAATTGACCTGCAATAGGTCTGGCTGAGAGGAGGAGGTGGCGATGGTGGTGTGGAGTATGTGGTTTGTGGGGGCCGTGGGTGCAGCAGTGAAAGCTAACAGCAGGCATTGCAGGAGACCACATCATTGAGTTACTTTGAAATTACTCTTCAGCTACTGATGTGTAAAAAGAAACAACATTTTGAGATTCAGGCATGACAGTGAAAGGTCTGCTTGCTGCAGTTTGTGACATGCCGTAATTGGGGATTGGTGAGAAACTGTTAGTTGTAAAACTGTAAGCCATTGATATGATATATTGGCTCCATAGCCCTGCAACGTGACATATTCTTAGCGACTTTCGGTGAGGAAAAGGGAGGTCAGGCAGGTTACCTTAAATGTCTGCTTCTTTAGAACAATGC